ACTTTTTATCAAATAAATAAATAAATAAATGTTGCATAAGCAAAATGTCTAAATGCAGAAACTTATATTCTGATGTCGGACAAATGAGTAATAACCTTCACTCATACCTTCTCCACCTTTTGTGATTTTATTACAAAACAGGGGTCTCCGACCTTTTTTCCGTTAAGAGCTAATTTTACAAAATTAAATTGTCCCAGAGCTACTTTTTGCAACATTTAATTTTAAACTTAAACCATTGGAATACGCTTGTTTTGCACAAAAAACCTCCGTCTTCAACTCACATGAAACCACCAGAAAGAACACTGAATTTACATGAATGTGCTYTTTGTGTTTATCCATTCATGTTATAGTGTATTTCACACTACAAACTCAGGGTTTAACTGCAACAGATTTGTGCACAAATAACGTCGGGTGATGGGTGTCCAATTTTTTTTCCGCATTGTGGACTCCAGCGGGGAGAAACCCCTTGTAATGACATATACCGCAGCGGGAGGAGTTTCTCAGGAGCTCTGCACAGTTTGTGCCAAAGGGCTATGAAAAGCGTGCGCGAAAATGAACGTCGAACAACCAAACTGAGCCCTAAACGGTTTGATTGACAACCAAGAGGAAGGGACATCAGACTGATTGGAGTTAAATGAAAGTTTGTTTGGTCAGTGACAAATTAAATTTTGCTTCTCCTAACTTTTCATAAGCACTGAAGAGCTACTTTAAAAGAGCTCAGGAGTTACTGGTTGGGGACCCCTGTTACAAAGGAACTTCTTTTAATAGTAATTTCTCACCTGATGTGCAGCCAGGACAGCATGGGTGTGGTTCCACCGCCAAAGACCCAGACAGTGAAGAAGACAATGAGGAGCGTGGTGGTGAACATCATCTGGCGGGCGTAGGTGGCGGTGTCCCGGATCGCTAAAGCGAACGCCATCGCTCCTCGCAGCCCTGCAGAGTGTAAAATACCCCAAATCATGACAGACTAATACATGAAGTAAAGATTATTTATTGTGTTATACCTGCAAACATCATCATGTGCTGGATGTTTCCTCGGATCTTGTCTCTTCGACCAAGGTTGAGAAGAAAGGAGAGCGGGTAGATGTTCAGAGCTCTCGCTATGAATATGGCCACCTGGCAGGCTGGTCAAGGAGAGTCAGAACGGGTCCACACAGCTTTGAGCTGTTTTCATACACACAGCAGGCTGAGCTACAGTCTCTGATGGAACTGAAAGGATACAAAGGCTCCAAAGATAAAGATGGGACTGAACACGTGATTCTGGAAGGTGAACAGAGCCAGGCCCATGTAGGAGAAAATGAAGTTCTCAGCCAGGAAGTGGAGAACCTCAAAGAGCTGCAAAGAAATGACGCAAATCAAAGTTCCAGTGAGTTCAGGAGGACCACATGGTGAGAACAAGAATACAAGAACTTTAATCAAAGTGAAGTAAAAAGATCAAAAAGTGAAGAAATTTGTAGTTGATGCTCCTTCTCAAAAACATTTAAACTCTTTGAAAGCCTGGTTATTTCTCCTGAAAAGGGCCCACATTTGACAACAAACCTGCAGAACCATACAGTCATTTGATTTATTGTGTTGAAGTCTGGGGGGAGGCATACAAAACCTATACAAATTCTATTTTTATTTTGCATTGAATATATTGTTTCATCAATTGAAGTTATTAAAATCTAATGAGTTGGTTGATTATAGGATTTTGCTGATTATGTCTAGGAGGACTAATAAAAATGTATTACCTTTGAATATTCAATTTAACTTCAGTAAGAAGGAAAGTACTTACAATCTTAAAATGCCTGTGACATGCATATACATGAAATACAAAAAGTCAAAGATAATATATTTATATTTAAGAAACTTGGCATAATACACATGATTTGAACCATTATGACACATAATTGGCCCATTTTCTTTTGAATTTTGCTCAGCTAGATTGGAACAGGAAGGGACATCAAACTCCCTGGTTTTTGTTTATTGAAACAATATTATTTGAACTGTGACTCATCTTTCTATGATAGTGATTAAAATAATCTAAAGGAACCTCAGATTCTTCTCTACAGTCTGTGTTGTTTGCCATTTTAGCAACACTCTGTTTRCATTCAGACATTCCCCTTTGACATCACTTCCTGTTTCTTCACATGCAAATATCTCAACAACTGTTCATCTCAGCAGCGTGAAATCTTTTTTTACAACATGTTATCAATGTTATCTTTCCAAAAAAATACATTCATATTTATTATTTAAAAAATGATGTCATAGGTACTTTAAAGGATTTGAAATGTTTGTTAAACCTAAAATTTAAATTAATTTGAGAGAGCGAGATGTATCAAGGAATATGGTTGTGGAGCAACTTGGCTAGCGATTATAAAAATGCTGGTTCTATTAAGTTATTTGGAAGAATGATAAAGTCTGACTTTTTACTGATCATTAGGGTTTGAATTCTTTATGTATATGTAAGCAGGGGTGTGTGTAATATATATATTTTCTTGTTAAATGGGGGCAGACATTTTAGATATTTTACTTCTTTCTGCTCCTTTTCATTTTCATTTTAAAGTGTAACTTACCCCCCTTTGAAAAGATAACTCCGCCCCAAGGCGAAATTTGAAAAATTCATCAAAGTGGGT